AAAAGAATCTTGAGACAGGTTTAGCCCCAGCCTTAATCAATTTATATTAAGTACCAACTGTTTTCAACTTCCAGTCAGCAGGTTAGGAGATATCCCCAAACTCTCTTTAAGGAGTCATTGTCTTAATTAATCTTATTTTAAAACCAATCATCAACAGAAGCTTTAATCTAAGAAAAGGTTTGATGGCTAATATAAATTTTCAAAATTGGTAAAGTGGAAATATACATTCAGACTTCCCTGTTCAGTTTCCGTATGTGGCAAACCTGCAAGTCATTACTCTGATCCTTACAATAACAAAAATAATCCATGCTAAACAAGCTGAAGTGACATTTCCTGGATCCAAAAGTGCAGCTAAAGTGTTCCGTGGAGACAAAGATGACAAAGCTTCGTCTCTTCTACCCTGGGCATATTGCTAGGAGAGGATATTCCTTGGAAAGGGTGGAGGGTCAGTGAAGGACAGGAAGAGGCCAGGGAGACAGATGAACACAGCAATCGCAGCATTGAACTCGAATGTGCTGGCAATGGAAAGGATAGCACAGAATTGGACAGGGTTCAGGCCTGTTGTTCACAAAGTCACTATGAGTCACACTAGGCTGACAACACCTAACTACACAACAACCACTATGCAAAATGTTAGCAATATCTAGTAAAACTATTTGTTTAGTGAGTCATGTGCAGTTTTTGACAAGTCATTTCTACTTTCATTCAAACTTTCTTATTGGTTAGTTGTCAGAAAGACTGATTTTTTAAATTATGAGAATAACTGTAAGAATTCTGCCAGTTTTGTGCACAATAGGTCAACTTGCTAACCATAAGATCAGCAATATGAATCTTGTACCCACTCTCTGGGAGATTAATAGGCAATGTCCTTCCTTAAAGATCTGAAGTCTTGAAAAACCAATCAAGGGTCATGATGAGTTAGATATTCATTCAATTTCAGGTTTTTTCTTAGTATAATTGTACACTTTTTCTTTCATAACTTAAAGTATAGTAACTTGATAGCACAGTATTACACTTGGTCTTGCAAAGTCTTTTTATTGTTTATGGAACTAGTATCTGAATATGTCGGTAGATGAAATTTTTATCTTCATTTCTCATCCCCCAATATCTGTTTGTGTTTATGGCTTTTACTGACTTCTATTACTCTAGGTATAGATTCTGTTTTTAAAATTTTATTGTGGTAAACTCTATGTATAGCATAAAATCTTAACCATTTTAAGTGTCAGTTTGGTGGTACTATAGCCACAATGTTGTATAATCACCACCACTATTGTTCATTGGCACTGATTTGGAACTAATTTAAAGCTGATCCCTCAGCGGGATTTTTAGAGGCAGTAGATTGCATAGGAGGAGATGGCACATCTTTTCTCCCATAGAGCAGCTGGTGAATTCCGACTGTGTTCCTTTGGGTTAGCAGCACAGCTCTTTAACCACTAGACCACAAGAACTCCAATCATCACCACTATTTTAAAATCCTTTTCATCCTCTCAAGTAGAAACTCTGAAGCTATTAAGCAACAACTCTTCATTTCTTGCTCTCCCTTTAGGATCCACATTTTGTGACTAATAAGAGGTGCAATGACTTTCAAACATCAAGGAATATGTGATCTTAAATCAAGCAGAAAAAAGAGGATATAATCACATAAGGAAAAATATAGCAGGAGTTTGGTCTCAGAACTTCTATGTCCCCAAAGACACATTTAAGCTCTTGAGAGCAAATGTTTATTCTCTATTTGAGCTTCAAATGTCCAAGGTCTTTCATTGGTCTTGAGGTTCTCTTGGTCTAATTCATAAATAGTGGCATTATTAATCCAAAGGCTATGTCTCTCTTTAGTTCAAACCCATAAGAAATTTTAAGATAGAAAGGCAATCTCTTCTCCTAATATTTACAGTCTAGGAAACTTAATGAGTCAGTTCCAACTTATAGCAGTAAGACAGAGAAACGTGAATTTACTGGGTTTACCACAAGGTCATGACATATTATATATCCTAAGGCCTAATCAGCATGCATTCCCCAGATAATTCCTCTTCACCTGGTTAGTGTTCTTTCACTTCCTCTCGATATGGTCTTCCCAAGAGGATCATATTTCATACTTTAAGGCATTCTGAACGTCACTATTCTAGTAGGTGTATGTAATTATTTCTGACTGTTAATGTGAAATGTATTGACCCAATTACTGCAGAAAAGGCGGGAGCATGGTGGAGGTTATAAGTATGGGGCAAAATAGGGCAAAGTTTCTGATCTGCTCTTCAGAATCTTTATGAGTTATAGTTGAATCCAGGACATTATTAATAATAATGACAAATGTTGATTAACATCTTTTGATACGACTACTTAAAAAAAGTTTATCTTTGTGGTGTATATCTGCTTAAATCTCTGGCAAATTGTTAACTGTTTTCTATGTTGTTGAGTTTAAGAGTTTTAAAAACTATTTCAGATCAATTCTTTATCAGCTATGCATTCTGCAAATATTTTCTATTAATTTATGGCTTGCCTTTTGCGGCTTTTAAATATGTCTTTCACACAGGTGTCTAACTTTAATAAAGTTTAACTTACCCATTTTTGTCAATGTGTTGGTAGCATTAAAAATGTATTGCCAAACTCTAGGTCCCCTACACCATCTCCTGTGCTTTTGTGTAGAAGTTTTATAGTTCTGCATTTTACATTTAGGGACATGATCTACTTAATTGTGTGATAGGTGAAAGATTTGTGTTTAAGATCATTTTCCTGTATTTTGACATACTTGTTTTAATAGTATTTGTTGAAAGGGGTAATCTCAGGGAGCTCTGGTGGCCTAGAGGCAAGAAGTTGTGCTGCAATCAAAGGCATGAGGTTTGAAACCACCAGCTGATCCACAGGAAAAAGATGGGCAGTCTCCTCTTGTAGGATTAACTGCCTCTGAAAACTTGCAGGAGGGTCAGTTCTGAATCAATGGGCGACAAAAATTCTCAGTTACCATATTTGAAGTTGTATGTTCCTGTACTATTACATTACATTCATCTTTCAGTGGCTGTTATTTAGGCAATAACATAATCTCTTAACTAATGTAGTGTCATATAAAGTTTTAAAATTCATGTACCCTCCACTATTCTTACTTTCTTTAGCATCATGTTGGCATTTCTAACTTTTGTGGCTTTCTACATAAATTTCAAAGTTAGAATTTTTTTTAATATTCACAAAATAGTTTACTAGGATTTAGAATCAGATTATATAAAATCTATAGATCTAGTTGGGGAAAGAAATCTGGAGAACAACCACTTGGCCAACTGACTAGAAGAGGTCTATATTTGTTCCCATCCCAAAGAAGGGCAACCTACAACAGCCCTAAACCCTCCCCTCTCCTGTGCCAATCTCATTGTCTCTGATACACCTACCCTTATTACCCCAGTCACTTAATCAATCCATCTCATTGCAAGTCTTGCTCTCCTGCGCCGTCCCTCCACCTTTCCAAGCATGATATCCTCTCCAAGGACTGGTCCCTCCTTGCAACATGTCTAAAGTATGTCAGATGAAGCTTCAGAATCCTTGTCTCCAAGGAACAGCCTGGCAACACCCTCTCCAAGATAAACCTGTTTGATCTCTTAGCAGATCAGATAACTCTGAAAAGATATGTAGAACATTATCCATGAAGAATACAAATGGTTATTGCAAAGACGAGGGGGAAAAGAACAGACTAACATGGGCAAGACTCGGAAAATTGCACTAGAACGCCAAGAAACCAAAGCAAAGAGAAAAAAATCAGGAAGTTACGAAGCTGAGTAGAAGATTCAAAGGGCAGCTAAGTAAGAAAAAGCTAAGAATTAAGAATCGGCATAACAGAACCTAATATACTCAAAACATATATTTACTCCTTTTCAGGAAAAAGATGCTTACTCCTCTCTTAGAACAAATTACTAACTGACAGCACAGTCAATAGCTTCTAATGATGGACCAAAAATCAACATAAATAAAATCATTAAAATATTAAATCCAAAATAAAGCAAAGCAGGAGGGTACAAGGAATAAAAGAAAAACAAGCACCTAGATGGTTCAGTTAAACTAAACAAAGTAGTAATACATTAATTGCTTTTAAACAATATATTTAAAAGCAAAGATTGTTGGATTGATGAAAAAGCCAGCCATAACCTTATGTGGCCTACACCTCCTTCACCCTGTAGCCATTCAAGTCATTCTAGTTTATAGTGACCCATATGTTACAGAATGGGACTATTTTATGGGGCCTTCTTGGCTATGAATACTATAGAAGCAGATAACTAAATGGCTCATCTTTGGTGCTGCTAGGTAATCTTGAACCAATAAACTTCTGATTAAAAGTTGAGGGCAAAATATTTATACCATCTAGGAATCTTAAACTACCCCTAATCATGTTTTCCTAATTTTTAGTAAATTTCTGACCCCAATTCCTTTAAGTCACATTTATTTAATTTTCACTTCTCCATTTTATTTTATTAAAAAATGATTCTGGAAACTTCTTACAAATATTACTTATACTTGGAGAGCTCTTGCACTACTTCTTTAATGTAAATTAGCTAACTGTTTAATCTTCCTAAGATATTAAATCAAAGAAAAAATAGCTTCAGTCAATCACATCAAATAGAGACTAAAGCCTATATGGAATAAAAGATATTCATACATAAATATATACTTGAAAAGTATAAAAGCTATACATTTAAAATCTATGACACACACAAAAATGTAATTGCTGTACTAATTCCATCCTTTGCATTTGTTATTTGGTAAATAATATTATAACCTTGTATTTAACCCAAGAATTATCATTTATTTTTATAGAGATTCATATTTTAGGTCTTTACAGCCTTGCTTTGAGTTGACTGTAAAATTCCCAAATTTTAACCTTGAGTTTACATAAGCATATTTTTCTCCAAAATACACCAAGGAGGGTAAATGGAACGAAACTGAATAAACAGTTGCAAAGCTCTCAGGGGAGGGGAGAGTTAGAAGAAAGGTATAAATATATGATAGATGTTCACTTTTATTACCTGAGCATTCAGCAGCTCCTCACACTTGTGTGCTTGTTTCTCAATTGCAGAAATATACTGTTTTTCAATAGCTTCTACTTGTTGTTTAACTGAAGACTGTAGTAATGCCTGAAAACAAACAAAGTCATTTTAAGCTCAAACAAAACTTGGAGTCTACTGCTGGCATGATAATGTTTTTTACAATTATGCGTATCTGTAATTTGATACTCTTCTGCATCTACAAAATAAGCATTTGCAAATACTGAAGCACATCCATATATAACATTACTTTAAGCTTTTATTTTTCTGTTTTCCTGTAGCCAAGAGTTTACTGGCTCAGGCACTCCTTCCAAACACCTTTTCCTTAAAAAACGCAAGTCACAGAATATGATAAAGAGAGTGAATAGTTCTGTTATATATAAACTCAGCGTAGTGAAGACCACACAGGATGAGAAAGCGTATGAAAGCTGCTTAAAAAAAAAATAGCAAAAGGGAAAAAAACCAGACATATTTCACTGGCTGACAAAACTCCACATCCTCTCGGCACACTGTAATATCCCATGGGCCAAGCATGATCTTCAAGACCACAAGTCAAGTAAAAGCAGATGGAAACTCTGAGCAATTTCAAACATAAAAGAACTGCCCCCCAGGAAGTTCACGCCCCTAATATGAAAAGGTATAAGTCAGTGTGCAAAAGTCGGCAGCAGTATTCATGAAAAGTAATAAAATGTGGAACACTGGACATACTTAATGTAGTAGTGGAAATGTTGGACCCTCCGTTCATTAAACCTAAATGTGTTAACTCTTTTCTATGGGAAGCCAAATCAGCATTTGAAGATGTGCCACACACTAACTCCTTCACTGCAGATGCTTAGATTATTATCACATTTTTTCCTTTCCCTTTTTAAAGCATTATATGTTACAGCTAAATGTTCTTAATATTTTACATGCTTTTTGTATATCTTAAATCATTCTGAAATATGCATTCAACATATATGTATAGAAGTTTTTTAGCAAATATTCTATTTTTAAAAGTCTATGTGGATAATAAACTACTCATAATCAAAATAGTAAGTTGAAACAGACACAAGTCTTATAGAAAACAGACTTTTGGCACATTCACCAAGAAAAAGAAAATAAGCCAAATCTTTTAAATAATCTCTGTTTTGAAAATAGATTTACTTGGTTGGAAACAACATGCATTAAGATGCTAAATAAATATGAATGTATTTATGTTTTTTTTAAAAAAAAAACACTAAGACAAAAATATTTTTAAAGCCTCTCTAAGAGTCTCCCTGATTTTTAAATAATTAACTTTCTTTGGCAAATGTCAGAGAGTCTGATGATCTTACTACTCCTGAAATTCGGTAGTTGCTATTCTGAAACTACATGAGGAATTACTTGTAATAAGTAATAATGAAAGTTCGGAGATTAAATAGAAATATTAGGAACTGTAATATGGTCGCTATTGTTTGGTGCCAGAGTCAGCCCTGATCCACAGTGACCCAATGTAAAACAGAATGAAGTGCTGCTCAGTCCTGTTGCCATCCTCACAAATTATTGCTTTGTGAGCCTGCTGTTGCAGTCACTGTGTCAATCTCTCTCATTGAGAGCTTCCCTCTTTATTTCTATTCTTTCTCTTTATTTATTTATTCCTCCTTTTTTCTATTTTACTAACATGATGCCCTTCTCTAGTGACTGATCCCTCCTGATAGCACTCAAAGTGGATGAGACTGAATCTCACCATCCTCTCTTCTCAGGAACATTCTAGCTGTTGTAGTTAGGTGCAACTGAATCAAGTATGACTCACAGCAATTCTATGAACACATATCTGAACCCTGTCTTCTGCTGTGCCATTCTCACAATCTCTGATGCCTTCAACTCCACTGCAGCTGTCACTGTGTCAATTCACCTGGTTAAGGGTCTTCCTGCTCTTTGCCATCCTTCCACTTTTTCAAGTATGATGTCCCTGTCCAAGAAATAACACCTCCTAGCAACATGCCCAAAATATGTGAGACGATGAGACGAAGCTTCATCATTCTAGGCTCCATGGAGCACTCTGGCTACACCCTCTTCAGGATGTATCTGTTAGTGCTTTTGGAAGTTCATGAGATATATAACACTCTTGTACAACACAAAAATTCAAAGACATCAACTCTTCTTCTATGTTCACTGTCCAGCTCTTAGATGCAAAACAAGTGACTGAAAAGACCATGGCCTGAATCAGATGCACCTTAGTCCCTAAATAGATACAGTTACTCACCTGGCTTTAATCCTTAGGTTTAGATATCTTCTAACTACAATAATAATAATAAACTTATATTCATTATATAAATTAATATCAAAGCATCTATATATTAATACCAAGCATCTTGATCTCTTTACAGTATCATGAGGAAATTAAATTCCTAGCATATCAATGGCATAGCCAGGCTGCGCCTTGGAGGGAAGGACTCTGAAGCTTCGTCTGACATACTTTGGCCATCTGCAAGGCAGTATCAGTCCTTGGAGAGGGATGTCATGCTTGGGAGGGTGAAAGGACAGTGCTGGAGAGAAAGACCCTCAACTAAATAGGTTGATTCAGTCAATTTGTGTGTTGGAGACAATAAGATTGGCACGAGATAGAGCAGGGTTTAGGGCTGTTGTAAATAAGAGTCATTATGAGTTGCAGGCGACTCAATGACACATATCAACAACAACAGCAACATTATAATATAGTATTTGTATAGTTTAAAAAAAATTAAAGAATGGTGTTAATACCTGACTGCCATTAGCATACAGACTTTTGGAATAATCAATATAATTGCCTACAAAAACATAGGATCTTCTGTAGAGAGAAATATTCTTTTTTCAGTTATTTTTTCTTAATGAAAAAATTTCCATTATTTTATTTAATGGAAATATAAGGCTTCACTTCCCTCACTGACATAATCCCAAAGATCCTACGTATATTCATATCTGTCTCTGCATTGCTTACACAGACAGGTCATGTTTTAAATTTCTGGGCAGCCAAAAGAATGCTAGGAGACATATACACTCATTGGCACTAACCACTGTATTCACCTATGATAAAGCTGGATACACAAGACTTCTACAATGCTGGCAAATGCAAGTAATTATTATTATTTACAAAAAAAACAAATAGTAACAACACATTTCTAATAGAAAACCCTTAAATTTACTCAAATTACTCATGCCCATTCTTTTTTTTTTAGCATGTGAACGCTTTATTATTTGTTGTTGATATATGCTCTTTTTTTAATTATTATTAAATTTTATTAGTTTTAATGAACATTTACAGAGATTCTGGGTTCTCATTCATTCATTGTTGTACTGTTTTCTCTACCCTCCTCCCCAGTTCGTTCTTCTTCCACCCCCCCGGAATGTCTGTTTTAAATGTCCAATTGCCACAGTGCTTGTCAAAGCCAGTTCTGATTAATCTCCTTTGTCAGTGTGTCCTTCGCCATTCCCTATCACTCCTCCCTGAGAGAGACTTCACCCTGATTCATAAGGAAAAGGGGATGGCGTATTCTCTTAGCTACTTCCTGCTGAAAAGGGATGCTGTGGGTTTCAGGGTGAAGATCTCATAACTGGGAAGAAACACCATGGTCAAAGATCTAGCTACCACTAAGCTGCCTGAGTATCTGCAAGTGGGCTTTGCTGGCTTCTCTGGCCCTCTGACACTCAGTTACACAGTTCTGCACAGCTGTTCTGTCCCAACACTTCACAAAATGGAAGTACTGCATGCGAGTCCTGCACAGGGTGTGCACAGGCTTGTCTGGCCTGCACATAAAGTGCTGCTGCTCTTTTAACTCCACTGGCAAGATTTCTGCCAAAAGAATCCAACTCAATCTTTCCATGGGAAAAAATTATATATAAGATATTCTGAGGCAACATGTGCACCACACATACTAAGGTCTCTAACCTGCAGGGGCATATATGACATCTCTTTTAGTTTTGCTAGCCAGCAAGCCTTTTTTTTCACATTTTATTTTTTAAAAATTTCCATTCGTTCATTGTTGCACACTTTCCTCCCTGCCCCCCCCCTTGGCTTTTCTCTTTGAAAAGTAAAAAAAAAAACAACAAATAAAGCCACTGTAATATAAAACCTCTCCCTCGCACCCCCCTCCCCACCCCCGTTCACTATGCAGGTTTCATTCTGGACTCTTGTCATGACAATAATACCTAATCAATACTCTCCCTCATCTGTTTCAATGCAGTATATATTATTTATTCCCTCCTGGTTTCCTCCCAACTCCGTTATCAGTTCCTCTTTACAACAGTGGCACTATGCAGTATTTGTCTTTTTTGTGACTGAGGTATTTCACTCAGCATAATGTCCTCCAGGGTCACCCATTTTGAATAATATTTCATGTGTTCCTTGTTTTTAATGCAGCATAGTATTCCATTGTGTGGATATACCACAGCTTCGCTATCCCTTCATTTGCTGATGGGCACTTGGGTTGTTTCCAACTCTGCTGCTGTAAATAAAGCCACAATAAACATGGGTGAGCATATATCTGCTTGGGTGGCAATTATGGTTTCTTTAGGGTATAATCCCAGCAGTGGAATTGCTGGGTCAAATGGTATTCCATTTCCTACTTGTTGAGAAAGTGCCATATCGCCTTCCACAGTGGTTGCACCATTTTACACTCCCACCAGCAGTGAATAAGAGTTCCAGTTTCTCCACAACTTTGCCAGCATTGGTTGTTTGCTGTTTCATTAAATTTTTACAGAAGCCACTGTACTACCTAAATCTGTGGAATAGCAAGTCCACCAATTTGTCTTTTGACATCTTGTGCCATCTTCAGTGTTTGTTCTAGATTCCTAGATTTAGAAAAGAGCTCTAGTGATGTAGCTTTATTGCATTATGTTGTTAATCAAAAAGCTACACCTCTCTGGAGGTCCAAATCCACTAGCGATTCTAAAGAAAAAAGATAGGCAATATCTTGCTGTCCAATTTATAGACTTAGAAACTGAATGGGGTATCACCTATGAGTCTGCTCAGATTCAAAGGCAAATATTTGACCTGACATGTTTAGGATGTTCTTGGTGTAGAGAAAAGGAGTTCTTTGTCCAAATGATACGCTCCACTTGAAACTCTCCTTCTTGATGGTAATGAGGTATCT